CGCAAAAGTGAAATTAAGTGTTAAATACGTTAGAAGCGATATATGTTATACGCTTTGCTGCGTCGCTCTGCTGCATTTTACTTCACTGTTGTCCAAACGCTGCTCAGGATTAATATAATGACTTTCTAGCTATAAATAGGACCGATGTGAATACGTATTGCTTTTTCTTTTTCGCTGTTGCCTGAATAACCCACGTCTCCCATTTCGCCTTCTTCTTCATTGTCTAAAACGTAAACTACGTATATCGAAACAAGAAAACGTGTTTAGCACTTTTGGATGTTAGCATCGATTTTAACGAAAAGTATATATAGGAATAAGTATTCTTTTAAGAAATAAAAATGATGTAATGGTGTTTTAACCAGCAAGTCAGTTGTGATTTTCACATCAGTCTTAAGAAACAGTCAGCTCGGATATGACTAAAGTGTATATATATATATGTGTGTGTGTGTGTGTGTGTGTGTCATGTACCAGCTTTTGTCCGGAATAAATAGAATGCTGAAGAATCATAAAATGTAGTCGTAACTTAAATTATCAGACGATAAGCTTAAAAAACAGGATCCATTTATTCAGGAGAAATAGCAGTTACAAAATCAGATATCCGGAGTAAATAAAAAGAATTACTAATAACTTTTTGTATGAAGTTTACTGCATCGTGACATTTAAGAAAAAGGTTCCCGATATTCCTTTGCGAGTCCTTTTATAGCCTCTGGAAAGGCGAAGCTTCAAAGAAAATGACGTCAGCCAATCCAGTTCGCTTTTAATATTTCCAGAACATTCTATAACTGTACATGTAGAAAAGGCGGGAAAAACAACTTGACTACGGGGCTGTGAATTTAATTCCATGTACTTTCGAATAAGAGACCGTCGCCATTAAAAAATTAAAAGAACATGCAGTTAGAAATTTAAGTGTATTTTTGACTATGGAATTTTATTATTACATATATATATATGTGTGTGTGTGTGTGTGTAAGAAAAATAAAGAATATGTAAAAGGTATATTATAATTTTAATTAGCAACGTAAACTAATTTCCCTTCTCTATTTTAAAAATAGCAATCTCTGTTTACCCTGCGTCATTTCAAGACTAATCCATATCATATTCTTACACAGTTCTGATAATGTAAATGAAAACAAAAACTCAAACAGCCAATAATAATTTTACAGCAGCATTATTTATCCAATTAAAATGCATTCAAAACCAAATGATTAAGATTTAAGATTTCATCCTGAACATAACGCACTCGCTTGCTACTCTTCGGCTTAGCTGGACTGCTATCTTCTTATTGCAAAGTACTAAAAATGTAAACATTTTGAAATATGCACAAATAATGTGCCATGTTGTTTTTGACTTCAACAGGTTTACTGAAATAAAATGAAGATTTAATCTACCTTGGCTGCCAGTTTCCTATTTATTATGGATTGGCATTTCAGCATTCTACACCATCAGAATTCCTACTTTTCATTACGGGTTCAACACACCATTAATATTACAGTCCTCTCTTTATTACACACACACATATATATATACATGCAAAAATACTTGGCATGTTCGTGTTTTGTTTTCAAAAGAATTGTTTTGTAATTATATATACATATATTATATATATATATTTGAAGGTGATTTTAAAATTGATATACTACAAACACCAACATCAAGAGTAATATTCTATCTGAGGCTAACAAACACATTGCTTTTAGCCCAAAGAGGCGTTAGGTCAGAAGGGTTATTATTCTCTAAATGCATTTTGCGCGGAATCACTAAAAGCGCTTAATCAGTTTTGAAATTATTGCTACCAAATGTTATCACCCTGTATTATAAAAAATTAAATAATGAAGAATCTGCATGAATCTGTGTATGTTTCTAACACTTTGAAAAACAACGGAACCTAAAGCCATCAAATTTTGAATAACGTAGTCGCCACCCGAATATGGGTACAGCACATAGAAGACCGAATTTTTATTTTACTTAGCTATCTCTTTCATATTTTGTAAAAAGTTAACGAATTTTTGATTAAAAAATTCAACGATTTCAAAGCGAGCAGTGGCAACACTGTACGAAATAAAACATTTTTATCTCCCTCGCACGAGACTGTCTACCGAAAATTATAGAGATAGGCTGTTTTTAAATATTTTTAGGCCAAAGAGATGTTAGCCCAAATGCTGTCGAAACTCTGCTTGTGTATTAATTAAAAAAAATAATGATAATAAAACGCCTTTTTGGGTGTAATATAAAATCCTAAATCTTTCATATCTTTTTTAATTTACTTTTTTGTGTTATTGCGTTGTTTTTGTTTTAAATACTGATTGAATATATATAACCTAATGAATTTATTTTCCAAATTAAACTGCTTAAAAATGACGTGAACTGTTATTTATTTTTAATCATAACGTAGATTATTTCTTTTTCTCATGTTTTGTAACTTCTTTAGTGATAACCACGATTTAGAATTAACACGCTAATTTCCTTACTGCATATCAAACGTTCGCTAAAATATAAATTTTGTAAAAGTTTACTAAATTTTAGATAAACCTGATAATATTTGTTCAGCTGGGAAATAGTATCTAAACGCATATGAACTAAGTTATTCTTGCCGAAAATCCCAATGAATAAATCACAATCAAATTGGACTTGTGCTGGATTAAAATTAAAATCCTCTGGGTCTTATTAGATTCGCTGTTGCTTTCATCTATTTTAAGCTTCTTAGAAGCCACAAAGCGTAAAATAACTTTATTGCCCGTCAAGTCAACACATTAATCAGAAAACTTTACTTGTTACCTATTGCATTTCCTGTTCGTATCATTTAAGGATTAAAATTAGTGGAATATTCAAATATTTCATAATTACATGAACATTCCTTATGAAATCAGAGATTTAAATTTCTACGATATTAAAAAATTCATTTACGTAAACTCCGTTTGTTTTTTATTTGAAATTTCACACATAATCCTCTAACCTACGAACACACTTCGATCTATGCTGTTCTGTTGTTTGAAACCTCTGTAATAGAGCGACGCTTCATTCCGCTATTTTTAAACTAAGGATAAGCAAATTGTCTCACCTTTGTCGGATTAAAAATCTTGGAATTAAATACTCGGTTCTGTAACATCACTTTTACTTCCAACGCCTCTCGCTTGAAACGTTAATTAGAAAGGTTAAAGTTTAGAGAAATAAACTGTTGTATAATGTTGCATAATGTTAACTTAGGAGAAAGTTATTATTTAAACGTCTTTTGTTTTTATTCAGAATTGAATTAATTTTTTAAAATACTAAACTTTCACTCTTCATATTTCTAAAATGGTACTGACATCGAACTCCAGTTTACTTTTATTTTCTAACCCCCCACACTAAACAACTTTGATCGGGATATTTTTATTTCTTTTTTTTTTTAGTCCAAAAGGCATTTCATTTTGGCATTTTGCGTTGAAAACTTTAAATGTCGGTTCACTTTTCAAACGGTTGCCACCAAACATTGCAGTCCTGTATTATATTTAAAGAAATTAAATAATGAGGAATCTGCATAAATGTATGTATGTTTCTCGCATTGGGATAAAACAACGGTACCTAGCGCCATCAAATTTTGAATAACATACGTTTGCGCCCGAATATGGGTATCTGAAAGCCCCAATTTGGAATTTGTTTTATTCCCTATTTCATATTTTGTAAAAATTTAACGAATTTTTGATTAAGAAACTCAACGATTGTAAAGCGAGCGATAGGGAATAAAAAACATTTTTATCTCCTGCGAAAAAGCGAGACTGTGTATCGGAAATTCTGAAGATGTTAATATTGTTTTGCGATATTGCTGTTGAACTGAATTTTATGGTTTAAGTGCGAAGAATATTAGTACGAATATTTAAGAAATAAGGATAACCCACTTAACGTTAAAAAGCGTCCATTTGGGCGTGATGTAAATTTTTGCTTTGGGCGTCATATAAATTTTTGCTTTGGGTGTCATTATTATTATAATTTTATTAGTCTTAAGGGACAATTTGCCCAGAAGGACTATTCATTTCGTGTTGGCATTTTGTGTTGATTCACTATAAATGTTGGTTCACTTTTCAAATTGTTTTTATTTTGGGGGGCGGCAAGATGTTTTACACTGTTTCGGTGTAAATAAGAATAAAGTCAAATGAGAATGAGTACATAAATTTGCCAAAGAGAGTGTTAAAAATGCGTTAATTGGTATTGTTACTAATTTTTAATTTGAATTATTTATTTTCACTATTTTTAAACTAAAAATAATTACCTTAGTTTTTGACTTCGATGATTAAATCTGAGAATTAATTCATTTTTAATGCTTAGTTTTATTTATCAACGCTGTTGGGTTCATCTGGGTTCTTGATATTTAAATGTGCTTAACTTACAAACCTCTATAGCCTAACCTTTTAACTTTTCATGCCGTTGAGGTTGTGTTGTTAGTGATTTACCTCTGATTTACTACCTTTATATTTTATTAATATGGCAATTTTGGGAGATATCGCTTTAACTTGGAATAATATCTTTAAATGAACTCAAAAGCGGCCTCGCAACTGTCGACATACTTCGCAGGATAAGAATTTGAACTTGTTTTTTATGTTAAATCACAACCTACTGAAACTGAATTGGAATGATTAGATTATGAAACTGGGGAGATTAAAAACTTACAATATTTTTATTTACATACACTGTGATACAGTATAATAACTTACACGTTATTTATCAGTCGGTTTGTGATATTTCCCTGAAATTTTAAACTAATTTTATATTGTTAATCGGCCCAATGCGATACCTGATTCGTCATACATAGCTCAATGTAACGATGATTTATAATTGCCGTTATGTGTCTTTATTAGTGTATTACAAAAAAAAACATGAATCTCATATTTCAACAATAGTAACTCTAACCCGTTTTCTTTAAACAATGAGAGATTCCAACATTTAGATCTATGCTTAATCAAATTGAAGTAAATATCCAGTCTCTATTTTAAGCTTCCTCTGAAGAATAAAATAAAATATATTACCTTGAAAAACTGCAAACAACACAAGCAAAATATTCCACATGGCTAGCAGTTCTTGGACTTGTTTTAATTCTGGCTGTTCAATAGCAAGACATAATTAAGAAACGGAAAAGCTTTTTAAGAGGTTAGATAATTGATGTCTGGCAGGAAGCGATAAATGATAAGAACAGAATCGAATGGTGGCAAAATTCACATTGATTAGAATGCAGCTGGATCAAACGTAAGAAACGAATATTATTGCCTGATGTAACATTCCAACAAACAAGTGCAGTTAAGATCTCTATAAAGTCGTTAAATACCAGAAGTGGGGTTCATTGTAAACGTAAATGTGACTGCCTCGTATTTTCTTAATTTGAAACTTATACTTTTATTTTATTTTCTCATTTTCAACACCACAGATTCTATTAGCCTCGACGCTAATTTTTTGTCTGTGTCAATTTCGTATCCAAATCACTTCACAGATTTTTGCCGCCGAATGTTATCCCGATGCGTGTTCCTCGCATTGTGAAAAAACGACGATTACCTAGGTCCACCGAATTTTTAATACATGTACTCCTCTACCCGAACATGGGCAGCTCGAAGCCCGAGTTTGGATTCCGAAGTCATTTTTTATTATTTCATATTTTCCTCGCTAGAAAGTGCTTGATGCAAATTAAACTGAATGAGGACCTGTTGCCTGACTTCAGAAGCCAGAGAACCATTTGAGATTTTTCAGGCTTAACAAACTGATGACTTTGCCAAAACCTCAATCTTATTTTTTTTTTTTTTTTGGTTTAATTGATTGCAAAGCATGAGTTTACTTATGTTTTTCTCCGGTATAAATTATTTGTGAATAATCGCTTTCCAATCAACAAATGTTTCTCGACACAATCTTTGGTCGAGATTTTTGAAATCAAAATTTCTGAGGTCTTGCTTATAAATTTATTAATTTATGTAATAATACCCAACCCGAGAAATTTATATAACTAACTTGAGAACATAACTGCCGTTGTTTCTTTGAAAAATAAACGTTTTTTCCAGAAAAAAAAATTGGTTTGAAAAAAATCAAGTTTAATATGGATCAAATCAGGACATGCAGAAATTCGACCTTCATTCTAATGCGTAGTCAATGTACGACGCATAAGAACGAGTGTTTCCTTGCGAAAGATATTTCAGGGAGTTTAGTGAGCAGTGTTTATATTGATGATAAGCTTGTCAACTATCGTTCAAAGACAAGTGTGATGTTTTCCTGTTATATAGCTTTTTTGATGTTCTCTTAAATTCGAGACACTGAAAAAGATGAACACTCGTGGATTTATCATTAGGACCTTCGCTCCTGTCACGAAATCATCAGTACCAACTAAAGATAACAAATGTTAATGCTGTATTAAATCATGAAGGATCCGTATGTATGCATCTCTCTCTCTATATATATATATGTACATATGTATGTATATTTCTCTGAGTAAAAATGGCAGCACGTAGATTCACTACATTTTGAACACATGTAATCCTCCACCCGAAAATGTGTGTTTCGAAGTACGGAATATTGAATTTCCAGTTTGTTTTGTCTTCATTTCATATTTATGAGAATGTTAGCAACTCTTTGTAGAGTCATTAGGATGACCTTCCGAACACACACCGCGTCTGCTAACCGTTACACCACGAAGGCATGCAGAAAGGAGGGAGAAAATTCCCCCTTTTTAAAGGGCTTACCCAGTCGTCAGATCCTGGGGAAGAATCATTATACACACTTTCTTTAGTTCGGGCCCGATACAGGTAGAGTTACATAGACATTAAGGCCGATTACACTTATACAGGGACTGGATCAAAACATCGCCCAACGTTCGCGAAATTTGGTGATTTCTCAACTAATTTTCAAAACTTTAGTTGCCCAAATCATGTCGAGCTTGGTGATATTTTCCTAATTTAGGAAGGAGTTGAGGCCCGGAGTTCGAACCTCGGGCTAGGTAAGGTCGACTCAGCCTTTCATCCCTTGATTTCCATCACTTGGGTCGATAAAATGAGTCCCAAGTTCGCTTGAGAACTAAACACTGGGGGGTCCTTAGACAAGCCGACCACTTGTTCAGGGCATATGCTTACGCACCCCGGGGCCCACGGTTAAGAAAGTAGATTCCGGGGCACTGCAGGCCTTGGCCCATTAGGGTTCTTTTTGCTACTGAGTTTAGATTAGTTTTAGCAAGGAGTCATTTACTTCAATAGATTTGCCTCTGCATTTCTATTTTTCCAGCGAAGCTTGAGGCCGTTTATGTTACATTATCGTAACAATATCATTTTTTTTTGTCATTGAGTTGTAATCAAAAGTGAAACTTTCCGATTATCGTAAAGGTAAACTTGTAGAGTCATTAATATTTTTTGGAAGCAGGCGACTTGAAAAATGAGCAATGCCCTCGCCGGGACTCAAACCTGGACCTCTCGAATACGCGCGGATTGTGTTACCGTTACACCACGTAAGCATGCAGAAAGGAGGGAGAAAATAACTATGTGATATAAATAGTCCGGGTTGTGATTCCACAAAGAGTAAGCTATTTAATTTCAAATCTAAACAGGAAGGAAGGTCAGTGACACAAAAGAAATGTGTTGCCGTTCGGCAAAACGCAGTATATTTATCTTTTGAACTTAATCAGCCAATTCAGAGATTTAAAGAAATGCATTACCATTGCTCGAGTTAAAATATATCTATCTTCCACGTGGTATTGTGTAGTAATCCAGTAAAGGGTAAGATAATATTTAATTTTTTCTTTCAAATTCACTCTGTTATTAATGAATAAACAAAGAGATTTGGAGCCAATAAACCCAGTTTCGTTTCAATTGTTATTAATTACTAGCTGGGCTCTTGAAATTGAAGTAGCTGAATTTATTAAAATCCTTATATATATTTTCTTTTTTTAAAAAAATACTATTAAAAACTAGTCTTTAGATCCTGCAGAAGTATTGTGTATTTTTAAGATTTATTCCGGCGCTTCTTCCAATAGCAAATTTACATAAAAGGGATTACGTTTATCAGTTCTTTACGTGTAACATTTATCAGTTTAGTTTCAGTAGTCTTTCTAGACATTACTGATATTTACATACGTATAAAAATAGCACTGGATAGTTTTGATTTATATTTTGATTGACTGATTTGATTGATCCGGATTTAAAATATTAACACAGCCGTGTTTATGAACTTCGAAACAACAGTATAATACGAAATTCGGAAAGCAAATTCCACAGCTGCAACAAAAAGGCTATGGAAAAACATACATCTTAGCATTAGAGATTACCACTCTCCATTTTTATAAAGCAAACAGTACGTTGCTGAAATGCTGAAGATTAATACGGTAAGCAAAAATTAACCATTTAGGAAATTACTTCATTCACTTTTTCGTTCTTATTCATCATTTGATATGCACCAATTCATGTTTAAAATGAATAAAATTGTTTAACTAAGCCCTTAGAACTAATTAATCATTTCCTTAATCCTATACGAGCATCCAATAGCGGGAGAAATGTTCAGAACGTGATAATGAGCGCATCTAAAAATAAATGTTTGAAGAGCAAAGGGAAAAGTATTAATCCCAGTATATTCTTTTTTTATTACTCAGCCAAGAGATAATAACTATCTTCTTTTACGATATAAGCTTTGGAAATGAGTTCAAACAAATCTTTAAATTCTTGATTAGTTTCTCATTTTTACTTATATAATATGCTTCATTTTGGTGATTATTTCGAATCTTTAAAATTCAGGAATACTTTTACAGTTTCGAGTCATATAATAGCGCAGTAAAAATATAATTTTTGCGCTGAAATTTGTGCTAGCAATTACGTTTTTTTCCAAAAATTAATTAATATTTTAAATGCAACGATGATGTTTGACGGAAGCATTTTAAATTCTTGAAATCTAATTCGTATTCATGGTGAATATCTAATTTAAAAAATATAGCTTTTTAAATACATACATATAAAATATTCACAACGAGCTAAAATTTTCAGTCAACATTCGATAGGACGTCTATTTTGAGGCAGTTAAAAAAGACATATATTAGCCTAGAGCACACCCAAGGCAGTGTTACGAAAAATGTTGAGTTACTCTTCTAAGATTTTCTTTTTTATCTCAATATTAAATCCTCGATGTGAGTCAAATATATGACTACACGTTTGACATAAATGAAGCTCGTTACTTTATGTCTTAGAGGAAAATGCCGAATGGTATATTAAACTTGAAATTTAACCATCCAGACGGTATATTGGCTAGGGTAGCCTATTGCAGTACCAGGAGAAGGCCTGTATTTGTAAACGTATAGTGTCTTTGCGGCATGAGGGCACTCTAAATGTATGGCGAGAATAAAGTCCTCCTCTCCTGTGGCTTAGTGATAGTGGACAATAGTGGGAGTCATTCGAACCACCTCCGGGGTGCTCTTCCTCCGGGGTGGAAGTAAACGTCCTACCTCCTTCAGCTCTGGCACCATGAAATACATGGACAAGACAACAACTTTATCATTCCAACAGTCACGTGATAGAACTACGTCATTAACCAACAGGGCGTTGACTATGCAAAGGCAAGTTAAAATTACAACATCAGTATTTGCATTTACATTCACCCATGCTGTAATTAGTTATTACCTAGAGCCCCCTAAGTAGTGATCTGGCTAATGACTGAGCATTGTCCATAATCATCTAGAGAGCGTGATCACTTACCATCTCTGGAGTTGTCCACAAAAATATTCGTACAGCTCTTCACAGTATTACAGAGTGCAATCAGCAGTTACACTACAAACTACTAAGGACGTAAAAGACAAGTCAATGCAAAGCGCATCTGAAAAGCGAAGCTAGCACGGAGATACATCAATATTCCGAACCGCACTGAAGTAACAACTATAACATCTCGGAAACTGATGCTCTCTCTCCGGTCTTATGCAGTTTTCCCCCAACCACGGAGAAATCTCTAGTACTTTCTTCTTCTCGAAATTACTGGAAGGCGTATGAGGGGCCGGATATGATTGCAGCTAATATAGCAATCAATTGCTGTTATTCAATTACAATATCCATTACAGTTATACAGGTAACGAACCCAAATGTCGCAAAATAGTACTCTAGTTTGGCGACTTTTGGAGATTTCTCTGCAAATTTGGCAAAAAAAAATTAGTCGCCAAAACAGTCGCCGTCT